TATTTTAAAATATTAATTGGCGAAGTGACAAAAATATACCCTATAAGTTTACAGATTTTACATACTTGTTAGTGATCACTACATATCAGCATTATTAATAATCAGATTAATTTAGTGATTTAGCAAATATCATATTTTGAGTAGCTGAACAGGAATTATTCTGTATTCTATATAGAATTCTACAAATATGACTTTTCTTTCTAATTTTGGGTATCCCTTTGAGAAGGATAACTTCTTACAAGACATTGACTTCTTTTATCTACATTAGTTTGAGTCTAAAAGATGAATCATTGTTCTCCACTACTAAGCCAAATAGTGAAAAGACTCCCTACCATCCTAATGAGAAAAGACTTTTTAGTGTGGCAACTTCATTTGTCCAGGGAACACTGAGAAATCAGTGTGGCTAGTTTCAAACTTTGAACATCAGTAATATTCGGCTATTTTATATCTACTAAGTGGGCCAGATAGAAATAATGACATTTCACATTTGGTCTTCAACATTAGCAAGATATGAGTTGAGTTGTTGCTTATGGAATACCAACATTATAAAGTTAACTGAAATGATCTAACCTTGGTTTTTACAGTCTAGTTGAGACAACTTCTGGGCATGTTTCTGATGATAACTAATATCATGTTTAAATCTCCAGGGGTTTTCAATCTAGCCTACTATCTGATTAATTCTTTACTCAATTTTATGTGTACAAGATATGTTCCCAATGAATTGAACTTAAAGAATGTGTTGTATGCTAATAGGAATCACCTTAATCAAACCCTAATTAACCAATTTATAAGATTTACTGAAACATTTTATTTCCTCTTAAATAATGTCCACATAAATTTGAGGATTTAAAATTAATGAAATGTTTTGTAACACAGATGCACACTCTGTTCCTTGTTTTGACTGGCTTCTTAATATAACTAAGTAGTTCTTAGTCTTGTGAATATTAATTCTTTGTCTCATTGTAAATAAATAAATTAATGTACAAACTAGAGGAAAAGTGGCATTAAAAACAAATGCCTTTTTCTCAAAAGTAGGTTAAATACTTTGCTAAAAACCATTATAGAACAGCCCCTATTATGTGATACTGTGGAATTATGAATTTTATGTGGGCAGCAAAATTTAATTAAATGAAACAAAACAAAACAGAGTAAGACACATTCCATTTAGTCTACTCATATGCTTTTATGCTTCTATCACATATTCAAGAGTCCATTGTAAATCCAATGGTTTTGATTAGAAAAATAATACAGAATTCTAATGGAAATCTTATATATAAATAAAATTTTGTGTATTACATATATTATATATATGTATTTTTTTCTGATCTTATTTAACAGGATTTATGATTCACAAGTTAGCTACTGAAATTTATTTAATATCATTCCATGAATTTTAAAATATTCTTTGTTATGACCATAGCATACATTCTACCAAAAAGACCTCTTTTATTTATTTTTTAAAGTTATGGATTTATTGATATAACCTTTGAAGTTATAAAATTGTTATTTCTGCATATATTGACACAATTCATTTTTTAAAAGATTTCTATCACTCTTAGAAGGCAACTGATACCCATTAGCAACCTCTCTACATTCCTCAGTCCCTCTAGCCTATGAAAAACACCAGTCAATTTTCTGTCCCTACAGAGTTGACTGTACTGAACATTTCACATAAATGGTATTTTTTTCAACTTCAGTCTTTAATTTAGCATGTTATTTACAAGGTTCTTCATCAGTACTTCATTTCCAAATAATATTAAACTTATGAATATATTTCATTATTCTGTTCTATTTACCTATGTGTCAGTTCATGGATATTTGTGTTGAGTTTACAGTTTGGTTATTATGAATAGTACGGTTATGAAACATTTGTACATGTGTTTTTGTGGACTTGTGTTTTCCATTATCGAGGACATATACATACACACAACACTGTGCTTTCTGGGTTTTATGATAAACCTACAGGTAACCTTTTGCAATTTCCTCACTTAAATTTCCACCAGCAATGTAGAAGAGTTCCAATTTATTTGCATTCTCTTTAACACATTATAATATCTGTGTTTTTTATTATAATAATTCTGACGTGGATGAAATGATATCTAATTATCCTAATGAGATAGATTTGGGGCCAATTTCCAATAGTTTGCCTTTCCCTAATGAATAACAATATTGATAAACTTATTTATTTGCCTATGATCACTTGTAGATCTCTTTTTGCCTATGATCACTTGTAGATCTCTTTTACTTATCTTTTATTTTTAATTAACTTTTTTATTTATATGTGATAGCAGAATGCATTACAATTCTCACTACACATATAGAGCATAATTTTTCATATCTCTGGTTGTATACAAAGTATATTCACACCAATTATTGTGTTCATACATGTACTTTGGATAATAATGACCATCACATTCCGCCAGCATTTTTAACCTCATGTCCTCTCCCCTCCCCTCCCATCCCTCTGACCTATCTTGAGTTCATCTATTCCTCCCAAGCTCCCTATCCCCAACCCATTATGAATCAGCCTCCTAATATCAGAGAAAACATTCAGCATTTGGTTATTTGGGATTGGCTAACTTCACTTAGCATTATCTTCTCTAATTCCATCCATTTACCTGCAAATACCATGATTTTATTCTCTTTTATTGCTGAGTAATATTCACTGTGAATATATGCAACATTTTTTTTTAATCCTTTAATCTACTGAAGAGCATCTAGGTTGGTTCCACAGTTTAGCTATTGTGAATTGTGCTGCTATAAACGTTGATGTGTTTATGTCCCTGTATATGCTGTTTTTAAGTCCTTTGGGTATAGACCTAGGAGACGGACAGCTGGGTCAAATGGTGGTTCCATTCCCAATTTTACAAGAAATCTCCATGCTGCTTTCCACATTGGTTGCACCAATTTGCAGTCCCACCAGCAGTGTATGAGTGTGCCTTTTTCCCCACATCCTTGCCAACATTTATTGTTTTTTGCATTCATAATAGCTGCCATTCTTACTGAGAAGAAATGTTAGAGTAGTTTTGATTTGCATTTCTCTAATTGCTAGTGATGTTGAACATTTTTTCATATATTTGTTGATTGATTGTATGTTATCTTCTAAAGGTGCCAAAAAAACATGCATTGGAGAAAAGTTAGCCTTTTCAACAAATGGTGCTGTGAAAACTAGAAATCCATATGCAACAAAATGAAATTAAACTCCTATATCCCACCATCCACAAAACTCAATTCAAAATGGACCAAGGACTTGAGAATAAAACCAGAGACCCTGTGTCTAATAGAAGAAAAAATAGGACCTAATCACCATCATGCGGGATTAGGACCAACTTCCTTTTTTTTTGAGAGAGAGAGAGAGAGAATTTTAATATTTTACTTTTCCGCGGACACAACATCTTTGTACGTGGTGCTGAGGATCGAACCTGGGCCGCACGCATGCCAGGCGAGCGCGCTACTGCTTGAGCCACATCACCAGCCCAGGACCAACTTCCTTAATAAGATTCTTTTGGCACAAGAATTAAAATCAAGGATAAATAAATTGGATGGACTTACAGTAAAAAGTTTCTTCCCAGCAAAAGAAACAATCTGTGAGGTAAATAGAGACCCTACATCTTGGGAGCAAATCTTTACCCCTCACACATCAGATAGAGCACTAATCTGTAGGTTATATAAAGAATTAAAAAAAGCTAACACCAAAAAAAAAAAAAAAAACCACCACCAACAACAACAAATAACCCAGTAAATAAATGGTCCAAGGACCTGTTGATCTCTTTTACATAAGTGTCTATTCAAATCCTTGGATGATTTTTTAAATTGGACTATTTATCTTTTTAGTCTTAGTGGCATGGATTCTTTTATATTTTAGATGAAAATACAAACTCATCTAATAGTGTGCTTTTTAGCACAAACATTTTAATTTTGGTGAAGTTCTAATTATTTACATTTTTTCCTTTTCCTTGTTGTTTATGTTTTTGTGGTTGTGCCTGTTTTTTTTTTTTTTTTTTTTTTTTGTTGTTGTTGTTGTTTTTAACCAGGTATTGAATCGAGGGAAGCTTAATAACTGATACACTTCCCAGGTCTTTTAATATATTTCTTTTTAGACAATGTCTCATTAAGCTTTTTAGGGCCTCCCTATGTTGTTGAGGCTGGCCTCAAACTTGCAATTCTCCTAGCTCAGTGTCTCCAGTCACTGGGACTACAGGCTTGTACCACTGCCCTTGGCTTGTTGTATTTTAAGTAACGTGTTCCTATTTGATGGGTATTTAGATGTGTGACTGTTTTCTTTTTAAGAGTTTTTTTTTTAATTATAGCTATCATATACCTTGAAATTAGTTTTGAATGTTGTGCAACATGGTTTCAATTCAATAGTTTTGCATATGATATTCAGTTTTCAGCATCATCTTTTGAATGGTGGATTCTTTCTCCATTGAATTGATTTGATACATGACTGAAAAACAATTGAACATAAATGTGAAGACTTTTTCATAAATTCAATTCTATTTCATTACTTTATAAGTCTATCATTTTGCCAAAAGTTTCATATCTTGATTACGATAGATCTGTAGCATGTTTTAAAATCTCATTTTGTAAGCCCTCAAAATTTGTTTAGCTTTTTCAATATCATTTTGATTCTTCTAACTTCCTTGTTTTTACTTAGAAATTTTAAGATCAGCTTTTCAACTTCTGTAAAAGAGCCAGGTTGCATTGTGTTTAAGATTCCATTGAATCTCCAGAGTAATAATGACATTTTTAAAAATTCATGATATTTCTCTATTTTTAACCTCCTTTAATTTCTTTCAATTATGTTTTATACTTTACATTATATAAGTTTTACACTTCTTTGGACAAATATATCCCTAATTGTTTTATTCATTTTAATGATATTAAAATGGAATTGTTTTCCTAATTTTATTTTGGATTATTCATTGCAGACATAAAGAAATGCATTTGACTTATTATATTGATATTTTATTCTTCAACCTTTCTAATCTTTTGTTCAGGGAGTCTTCAAAATTTTCTGTGTAGAAGATAATGCAATGTGCAATGGAAAATGATTTTACACCATTATTCGCAATCTGGAGGACTTACATTCTGTTTCTTCATTTTCTTTGGTAGAACCTCTAGGAAAATGTTGAAGGTAAGTGACATATGTATTCATTCTTGTATTTTCCTACTAAAATGGAGGAATATATTCAGTTTTCCATAATTGAGTTTGGTGTTAGCTTTGTGTTTTCTGCAGATGCTATTTATTATGTTTTAGTCCTGACTTTTTGAAAGTTCATTTTTTAAATTTCTTATCATGAAGGGATGTTCATTTTTGTCAAATTCTTTTTTGCATGCACTTATTTCTTTTTGTATTGTCATAAATGTTTATAAGATGTTAAAAGCATCCTGCATTTTGGGATAAATCCTATTCAGTCATGGTATATAATCCTTCTTATAAGTCACAGGATTTAGTGCACTATTATTTTTAGCATATTTCATTTATTAGAAGTATCGATCTCTAGTTGTTTGTATGTGATGTCTTTGTCTTGTTTTGGTATTATAAATGTTCACCAACATATGCTGTAGTTATGCCCCAGGCAACCCAGCATAAATTGAAAATATTCTAAATTGAAAATGCAGTTAGTGCAGCTAACCTATTGAACTTCCTAGCTTAGCAGAACAGTATTGATACCAGTTTTTGCCCCAGTGGTCAAAGGGATGACTGGGTGCTGTGGCTGGTTGTCATTACATAGTAAGAGAATATCAGACCTCATAGAAAATAGTTCAGGAAAAGACCATAATTCAAAACTTTAAGTACAATTTATATTAAATGATTGTTATTTTAATAGCAATGTGAAGTTGAAAAAGTGAAATCAAACCATTATAAGTAAAATATTGTATATGTTATGGTTTGAATAAAGGGTGTTCCCAAAAGCTCATGTGGGAGAAAATGCAAAGATGCTCATAGGTGAAATAATTAGATTATGAGCATTGTATGATTGTATGGCCTAATTGATGAATTAATCTACTCATACTAGTTAACTAGGTGGTAACTGTAGGCAAGAAGGGTGGGGCTAGCGGAAGTACGTTACTGGGGGTGTGCAAGTAGAATGTATACATTTTTCCCAGGTAAATGGAACTCTCTTCCCTTGTCTCTCTTTTTCCCCTCCTCCCCTGACACTTATTGTCCTGAGCTATTTTTCTTTGCCATTCCTTTCCACCATGATGTTCTGTATCATCTTGGCCCCAGAGGTACAAAGCCAGCCATCTATGGACTGAGACCTCTGAAACCATGAGCCAAAGTAAATATTTCTGTCTCCATATTGTTCTTATTGTCTTTGAGTCACAGTTATGAAAAGGCTGACTAAAACGGTCTATATTGGAATATAATGTATATATTGTCCTTATTGTAATTATGTTATGAGGTAAGTAATGTTCCTTACTCTATTTTTTTTGGGGGGGATGACCTTATGAAAAAATTGGTATTTATTTCTTTTTAAGGAAGTTCAAAGTTTACCAGTAAATCAATCTGGGACTTGCTTTCTTTGCGGATATTTTATTAGCTGCAATTTCAATTTTGTATATGTTATATGTCTATTCAGATTGTCTATTTCTCCTTTCAATTTCTTTATTTTTTTATTCTTTTTGGAATTTGTGTATTTCATTTAAGTTTTTGTGTATAAATGCTTCTCGTATTTACTTAAACCTTTATATATTTTTAAAGTTTACTTTATATTCTGATGTTCTTTTGCACAATAGGGTGAACATTGTTAAAAATAATACTGTGTACTTCAAAATAACTACAAGTGATGATTTTAGAAGATTCACTCAAAGAAACGATAGATGGTTGAGGTGATGGATATACTAACTATCCCGTTTTAGTCATTACAAATATATAGATGTATCAAAACATGATGCTTTATTTCTATTGACTTGATTGCAAATTGTCCTTTATTTATTCCTCATTTTAATCATTTGAATATTGTCCTTTTCTCCCCTTGGTTAGTCTAGCTAAAGATGGTGAATTTTGCTATTTTTTTTTCAAAGAAACAACTTACACTTTTGGTGATATTCAGTATTTCATGAAGTTTTACTGCCAAAGGAAATAGATTCTTTTCATGGTAATGCAATAGGGTAAGCACACCAGATTCAAAGACAGAATGCCTTTATAAGATATTTATGGTTTATACATTAATAGGGAGACATAAAAAAGGTATTACAGACGAATTCACATTTGGTATTGTTATTGTGAGCTCTGCAAGTCTTTGTCAGTGATATGAATAGGAAATGTTTATCTCAGTATTCAGCTGGTTGCACAGAGACAGAGTTCAGCTAATCATCCATGAGGCAACAAACAGGGAGTTGGTGGTTCTGTGTCTTGCCTGGTCAGCAGGTTCATGTAAGAGCAAGCATCTGTGTATAGCCATGTCACAAATAAGTAAAGGAGTCACCCATGTGTCTTACCAGAGTCACAAGAAGTCTTATCTAAATAATATAAGCAGATTTACGTCTTATCTAAATCATATAGGCAGATTGGTTCTGTTTGTAAGCCACATCACAGAATAAAACAGGATGAGGAGTTTTGTGGGGGTTTTTGTTTGTTTGTATGTTTGTTTGTTTTTTTTTTTTTTAATTTTTTCCATCACTGTATTGCAGTACTACTACATGGCTCAGGTTATGTGCAGCATAATTAACATCCAGAACTTTTCATTTCTTTCCTTCAACTGGCTTTGGTTTCAGTTTGTTCTAATTTTCCAATGTCTTAAGTAAAAATTACATTATTGAATGTTTGGTTCTTTTTTTAGTAGAGGCTTTTGCAGTTGCAAGCTTTCTAGAATTACTGCTTTAATTGCATGCCATAAGTTTTGTTACATCATCTGAAAGTACAAAAATTATCATTCCTTTTTTTTCGTAATGGTTGAATAACATTCATCACTTAAAATCCCCAAAACAGACATAAATCACCAGAGTAGGGTGAATCTGGGTCTAAGAAAGACTCTAGACCATACATATTTGTATCATCCTTGCAAAGTCATTTGAATCCTGTTGAAGCATGGAGGTAAATATTAGTTGATGGAGATCACTGAAAATAATATGCCTCTAAAAGGAATATATGAAATAAGATATACACATATTAGTATAAAATCATGTTAAAATAAAGAGCCAGGAGTTGAACTCTGAAACTATGGAGTCTAGAGGTTAGAGTCCCCAAGTTAGTGAGTGAAGGTCATTTTGTTAAGCAGCAAGGCTCATTGATTTTAAGGTACTAATGTTCTCAAGAATGTTGTACACTGTCTTTATTATCAATTATTTTAGGTCATGCACAACCTGAGCATTTTGCTGTATTTCTTTCTCTATGATTCAGACATCAGCTTGTTCAGGGAGAAATTAGCCCACTCTTAGTCTCCTAGAGTAGTAAATTCTTCAAGGAATATAAAAATTTGTTAGGCTTTTCTAACAGTACTTCCACTGATCCCAGAGTTAAAAACCCAGCTGGAAGTCAAACCACAGTTCCAAGAAGGATCAGGTAATTCGGGTTTTACATTCCATGACTAAATAGGGACTAACGGTTTGGGGGGTTGTTGGTAATATTGGGAAAAAAATGGAAAAAAAATATCATCTAACCAATGTTTTCAATTAAGTCCCTTTGACATGTTAGAAAATTATTAAACTTACACAGATTACTACATTTTTATGAGATTAAGAAAACTAATAAGAAATTATGAACTCTAGAGACTTTGATGGGGTAAAAACAAAACAAAACAAAGATATACATTTTAATTTGCTTATAAATTCATAGTCTGTTAAATTGTTAGCAGATATAAATCATGTAAGAAAAAGTAGTTTCCATGTATCTATAATGTACAACATTACAGCATGGGTAATATCCCAAGGGAAAAATAATCCATAATTATCTCTCATGAGTTTCATTCAGTTCTATGTTTTTAATTATTTTTCAACTTAATCTTGGTTTAGAAATGTCATGAGAACATCTGCTTTTCCACTAGATTTCTGTGAATTCTGACTTACTCGACTATTTGTAGTCTTGAAGTTATTTCTGATATGCTGTCAGAAGTCTATTCTTAAAAGTGACTGACTGGCTTAGTCGTTTTCTAAGAACATCTGAGATATTAATTTTTGTTAAAGCCAAGCACTGTTCTCTAGTCGATTTTCACGTGCATTTGGGAAAATATCAAATTGTTTATAAGAGAAACAATTGTCTATAGATGATAAAAGATTTAAAACAACTGTTAAACTTAATGTGAAATTTCAAAAGTGAAAGATCTGGTGAGAGTATATTATGGGACTAATATAACTGATAAGAAAATGTTTCTGTGACATACAAAACAAACTTAAGTCAATGGGAAAAAGTTTTAGACAAGATATCTATAAATATAATAAGTATTCTCATTTTTAAAAAATGACTCAATAGTATATCTCATTTATAAAAATGAGCAAACATAGTATTTACAGTGAAAAATATTCATATTTATATAATCCAGAGTTATATAAACACCATGAATATACTGAACATATGCATATGATTCTTGATTTATTCGTCTTAATGGTCGCAACAGACCCATTGTAGGTTGAAAATATTATGCATAAAAATGCATTTTAAATATATAAACTAAAAAACATCATAGCTTACCATTGCCTACCTTAAATGTGCTCAGAACACTTACATTAGCTTACAGTTGAACAAAAGCATCTAATACAAAAGTTTTCTTTTAACAAAGTGTTGTGTTGCATATCTCATATGCACATACAGACTGGTATTTTTGGAGACATCTTGGGATGCAAAAATCACTAAACAAAATATCCCCAAAGCATTAGCAATGTGATATACCAGATCAGTGGTTTACCTTTGTGATTGCATAGCTGCCAGGGAGCTGAAGTTTGCTGCTGCTGCTCACCATCATGAAAGAGTATGGTACCAAAAATTGCTAGCCCAACAAAAGATCAAGTTTCAATGTTTAAAGAACACTCTTGTGGTTTAGTTATGAGGTGTCTTAAAAAAATTCAGGTGTGTGATAATCAAGGAAGTTTACAGTTGAAATGACTGAATCACTGCATTAATCCACTGATAGAGATTAACTATAAAGTGCCCGGAGGAGGTGGGTCATTGGGGGGCATGCCTTTGGGGTTTATTTTTTGTCAGTGGTGAGGAGAGCTGTCTTTTCTCTCTCCATTTCCAGTGGCCAAGTCCTGAGCTGCTTTCCCCCACCACACTCTTCTGCCATGATGTTCTGCCATACCTTTGGCCCAGAACAATGGAGCTGACAGTGGACTGAGATCTCTAAAAGTGTGAAACCCCAAATAACCTTTTTCTCCTTGAATTGTTCATGTCAGATCTTTTGGGAACAGCAGCAAAACAACTGACTAGAACAACATTAAAGCAGCAGTTATATACACTTTCTACTGAATGTGTACTTCTTTTGCACCATCAAAAGTTTAAAAATCGTAAATGAATCATCATAAATTCATGAGGTTCTAAATAACTGTATATTACAGAAACATCATAGGGAAATGGTCACCATTCCCAATTGAAAACCTCTGAACTATATTGGATCCAATTTAGGAAGTAAAATTGTGACCACATTAATATTTGAAAAGCAACTAATAATGTGATTTTTGAGGGTATGATAATTTCATATTAGTATGGTCTAAATATTAGGCAAAGTAGCACCAGGATTCTGATGAAATATCACGGACAGCAAGTTCAGTGACAAGTCTCTAGAATATTTACATTATTTCTGCAGTATTTGTATTAACAGAAATTCACACATACAAATTTAAGCCAGAGAAGGTTAAGTACTTCTGATTTGACACTTTCCTTGAAACTCATATTATATAACTTAATTATTTATAGGATCTCCTTTTTCTAGGGAAAAGAACAAATCTTCTGTGATATCTCTAGGAACTCCTGGGAAATCTCAAAGACAGCTTTAAGTGCAAAAGATATCATTTATGATGTGGTTTGGGGAAGGCAAAATATCAAAAGTTGTCAGGAGATTTCAAAAATTGATGAAGTAAGATTATGGGTTAGTAAGAAACAACACTTGGCCACCTACTTAAACAAGTGCCAATAAAAGACTTAAAATAAACATAGGAGGTGACATGATTTAAGAAACTTAGATTTCTTAAAAGTGAGAATACTTAGTTCTAAATAATAACTGAAAAACGTCACTATAAACCATAGGAAATTTTTCAGATAAGAGACAAAATCTTTGCCTCCTAGGCTGATTACTCAGAGGTAAAAAAAAATGCTTTTACAATATTCCATTTAAAGCAGACCACAATCCATCAAAAACAATTTTTTAATAGAAAGCAAATTTTTGACACCACAATTTTCAAACTAAAATTCTTAAATATATATATATATATATATATATATATATATATATATATATATATTTTAATTATCTTTGAAAATGACAAATAAAATTCCCATTCCATGAACTTCCTACAACTTCAACTTCCTAAATCTCTTTAGTCTTGTTCTTTACATTCCATATTCTATTCTGAAACAGTAATTTTTTAAAAAAAATATATAAACTACTTTATTTATCTTTTAAGAAATATGCATCCCGCATACCTTATGAAAGAGAGTTGTCCTCTGCCACTACTGAACCTAATAGAGCCTCATGTACAGATATTGACTATGATCTCCATTCACAGTATCTTCAGTTTCACAGAGAAAACTAGGATTTAGATAATTTCAACTATCATACATTATCAGATATACAGACTAGCAAAGCTTACATACACATCACAACATTTTATAGCAATATGCTTCTTTATAGTACAATGTAGCTCAATGTAGAAAAAAAATTAACTCATTTATCAGAAGACACAAATATATGTATATATAACTTCTCTATGCCCTAAAACTAAGGGGAGAAAAGTGTGTAAATTTATACTCAGTAATCAATGTTTGACTGTTTTACATTGCTTGTGGGACTGTAAATTTGTGAAAACACTATAGAAAGCAGTCTGGATATTCCTCAGAAAGCTTAGAATTGAACCATCATTTGATCTAGTTATCCCATGCCTTGGTCTATACCTAAAGGAGTTAAAATCAGCATATATCAGAGACACAACCACATCAATGTGTAGAGCAGCTCAATTCACAATAGCCAAGCTATGAAATGAAACCAATTTAGGTTTCCTTCAATGGATGAATGGATAAAGATAATGGATAAAGATTAAAAAAAATGGATAATGGATAAAATGGTATATATACACAATGGAATATTACTCAGCCATACAGAGGAATGGCATTTGCTGGTAAGAAGAAGGAATTGGCGAACTTCATGCTAAGTGAAATTAGCCAATCCTCCCAAAATACAAAGGTTGAATGTTCTCTCAGATTTGTGGATGCTAACCCATAAAAAGGGAACGTGGTGAGGGGAGGAATAGAAGTCCTTTGGAGTAGACAAAGAGAATCAAGGGAAAGGAGTTGGGGGTGGGGAAGGAAGGGCAGTAATATTCATTAGACATAACTCTTTTAGCCTTCCATTTGAATTCATAACCAGGGTAACTTCGCATCATGTACAACCACAAAAATAGGATCCTAATTAGAATAAGTTATACTCCATGTGTTTGTACTATGCTAAAATACATTGTACTGTCTTGTAAAACTAAAAAGAACGAATGAAAGTTTAAAAATAATCAATGCTTTGAAGTCTTTATTCACCCACACATCTGATCCTTCTCACAGACAGTTTCTATGGCTTTGTTTCTTGCTTAATTGTTTAGTGTCTTCACTACTTAGCAAAATCTGTTTTCCTATGAGGGCAAAGTATCAGATGTCACTCCTCTGAAGATACAGACTTGGCAAGAGGGCACTCATTCTGGAATTCCAGTGGTTTCAGGAGGATTCTATTTGACTGCTTCATTCCCTGATCTGTCCATTGAGCTATCTACCTCTGTTGGTATCACACCCAGATTTTTATCTCCACTATTTGTCAGATAGTTGATATGTGGTCCTCAAAGATCTTCTGCAACATTGATCGCTTCACCATCTCCTCTAACTAAATTCTAAGTCCTTTGCAGAGGTGATTTCTGAGGTTTATTTTTCTGACCCAGGAGGGCTTTTTCTTGGGAGTCATGCCTTTCTTTTTTAACAGGGAGTTGGCTGGGGATACAGCCTCTGATTTATCGGTTTGCAGCTCCTGGCAGGAAACCTGACCTCAAAGGCAAGTTGGGTCTTGTTCTCAGACTGCCCTGCCTGGAGCCCAGAGTCTGCTCTAATGGTGTTTGGCCAGGTGGAAGAAGGAAGCCTTCATTCTTCAGCAGCTCTTGCTGAGAATTTACTCTCTGAATCTTGAATCTGGGGAAATGAGAAATGCTGGTGATTTCCCCTCTTGAGGAAATACTATATTCCTTGACTGGGAGCTGAGGGAAAAGGGAACCCTCCTTATTGTTCACACTTACTCAGATGGGAGGGAGGAGTATCCTTTCTCCCCAGACAAAGGAGAGCCAAATATTTAGTACATTTTCTTAAACGTTTCTTTATGCATTGCACACCCTTAGGAAAATCCTTGAGATTTTAAATAGTTGAGTTTTCATAATTTTAACCAGTTTTTTTTTCCTCCTGGAATATAGGTCTATAGAGTTCCTCACATTATTATTCTCAAAGTGAAAGTTTAAAAGAGAGTTACCCAGGTTTTCCCCAATGATAAATTAGGTGGAGATATTCTTAACAGTTAATTTAATTTCTTTTCAAATGAAAGAGCTTCCTTCAGGGCATGTAGCTATGAATGTGGAAGTCAGGTAACTCACCTGAATTCAAATAGATGAATCTAAACTGGGCCACTCATGTCAATGATTCTTTCATGCATTGTGTCTTGTGTTGCTAGTTTATAGCTATTCACTTACTCAGACAGTCTGTGGATTTTTGTTATTTCAGCCTGGCTAGGCTAGCTTTGTGTGCTATAATTTCTTTACTGGAGTAGTTCCCAATTATCATGGACCACAAAAGTATATTTTTGCAAAATTTGGGAGGAAGAAGTAAATCAACATTCATTTATTAATTTATGTTGAAATGATTAAGAAAAGTGTAGCATGCATGCTTCACACCTGTATTCTTTCATTTTCTAGTTCACTGTGTTGCTGAGGAGTACCAAAAGTGTTTGTAGCTTCTCCACCTCTCTCCAGACCCAGTTTTTGTCACTGTTGAACCAGATGGATGCTTAGCTCTGTCATAAATGGTGCGGACTCCTTCAGTACACCTTAATCATTGAGACTGGAGACTTTAAGATGGAGAGATACTGGTATGAAATCTATTTTGTTCTCCTGATCTCATATGTAGTAGCTTATGTTTTCATTTCCTACTTCACATCCTTCTTCCCTTTGGCTTGCCTGATTATTCTAGGGTCTACCATCCCAGATGCAAAGACAACCATATTAATTACATTACACAGACTATAATTTGCTAATACACATTCACACTCTTAAAGAGGAAAATAATAGACTGGTTTTTCCCAGGAAAACTTGGACAAAGTCTGATATCTCCTTAGTTATTTTCTTTAACCTTCTCAGGATATAGGCATTGGTAGTTAATATGCAATTGTTAAATTACCAACAAAGTTTTAGACAGATTTGTTGTCATTTGAAAACTGAAGTGGAGGGCTGGGGATGTGGCTCAAGGGGTAGCACGCTCGCCTGGCAAGCGCGCAGCACTGGGTTCGATCCTCAGCACCACATACAAACAAAAATAAAGATGTTGTGTCCGCCGAAAACTAAAAAAAAAAAAAAAAATTAAAAAATTCTCTCTCTCTCTCTCTCTCTCTCTCTCAAAGAAAAAAAAAAAAGAAAGAAAAAGAAAAGTGAAGTGGAGAACTTCATGTGATGTGCTGCTGTTGGAAACATCCCACCTATGGGATGTTGGGATGTTCCAACTATTATTCGGTACTAACATATGAGTTTATTATGATAAAGAGAGATAAACTACTTTTATAATTAGAGTAAAGATATATTCAAATGAGGAAATAATTTCTGTGGCAGGTTTGTATTGATTTATGGATTTTAGAGGACCCACATCCAAACTTTTTCCATGTAGCTAACATTAAGAAGATGTGAAATCCTACTGTCTTATAGTACTGCCTTTGAAAGTAAACAAGGACATGTGGTTAATGGAGCTCCTATAAGACTATTGCCTAATTATTATTTTCAATTTTACCATAATTTTCTGTGTTGGAAACATTCCTCGTAAAACCTTTTCTTACAGTTCTCCCTTTGTTGGTGAAAAGTTTTGATAGTACATATCATGGCTGCATATCTCACAGAAGTGGTGATTAAAGCTACAACCTATGAGATCAGGAACTAGATTTTATCTTCTCTTTTCCAAGCATATTTGGCTCATATGTTTATGATATACCATATAAGTGTTAGTTTTTAACCAACTTGTTATAGAAACAGATACTTTGAATATATTGGAAAGTCCTAGCTTGACTTCTATTAATGACTTGACTCTCTAAAGGGGGTGAATTACCATTGAATTTCTGATCAAAGTTTTCTTCATACCCTTTTTTCTTCATTTTCTTTGACCAAATCATTGATTTCCTGCTTCAATTTTACATTCTGCAAAATGTCATTTAAATGACACTACTGACTTCAACTGGTTGGCTTTTTATATAATATTATCAGAGGACAATACAGCTCCATGATGCCCAGTGGGAAAAACTTCACCCTTTATTGAATCATTGAATAGTGATACTATGTTTTCATATTTGAAATTGTATTTGGTAATTTTAGTTGCATGTCAGTATTTCTAGATTTTTTCCTTTATCTACTAGCAAATGTTCATTATTAAAGACATTATTTATTGGTGTAGTATGTGTCAAAGTTATGCTGTTTTGCTAACAGGCATTTATAAAACCTTATTCAAACATGAGCTCAGAGATATATTTTCTAGGCCAGCAGACAAAGATGTCTGCCAAGAAGCCACAGCTAGTCACTCTGATGTTGGAAATTGAGCTTCTGGAAGTCAACACAACTCTCATGACACAAATATTGAATGGGAAAGCATGAATTAGATATTTCAAATTGTATGATTCTTAGTTTAGCATATTACTGTTATGTGAAGGCCTGAAAATTTAAAAAGACAATCTTAGAAATTGGGTTTTGAAAAGAAATATAATGCATGAAATTGGGTGGTTGTCTTTCAGACAGGGAGATGGTAGAACATTGAGTTACTCTGAGTGGACTAGTACCAGAGAAAACATTTGAATAATCAACATGTGGAGAATAATGTAGACTGTTATCCAGATAATTAATGAACAACAAATCATTTCTTTTAAGGTGAAGGATTTATAAAGAACCCATCCACATTGATTAAAGTAACTGGATAAGTGCTCAATTGTCCATTTCACTTTGCTCATGTGGGTAGAACCTAGGAATAGGTCATCTCATCTGAGTGAGAGGAATTGAATTTGACAGAGCACAGGGAAAGGGGTCACTATGTAGTAAATTGCCTCTTCAAGTGCAATTATCTATTCAAGACATAAGTCAATAAAATTCCACCAGTCTTTGGTTTCTTTGGTTTTCTTCTGTTTACACCTTTTTTTTTCTTTTATCATTGTCATATTTACAACATGCATTTTATTTGCTGATAAAAAAAATTATCTACTGTTCAATTTCAGCAGATATTTTCATTGAAAACTGATAGGTTATCTCAGGAGCTGCTGGTATTTTCTTAGGTAGTATCAATCTTCACACCGTGAATCTTCATAGCAGAGAGAGGAGTATATTATAATAATACATTCATACTTGAAAATTGATATTTTGAAATTACTTTAAAAATTTACATTTCTTTTTAATAACAAATTTGAGTAAGAATGAAAAAAAGTTTTATGTTTTCCACTTCCTCCATCCCCTAACCTGATAAAATACACACACACACATACACACACACAGAGAGAGAGAGAGAGAGAGAGAGAGAGAGAGAGAGAGAGAAAGAGAGGAAGACAGAAGTGAATCATGCCAAAATAGGCATTATTATTCTTGTGGTATTGCTATGCTTCAACATAAACATAGAGACTGAATTCTAATTTCTTTTGTAATTATTTTTAATTACAATAATTGTTCATTTATCATAAAATAAATCTTCTTAGATTTTAATATATTTAAGCATTATTACTTTATTTTGATCATGGATATAAAAATATGACTTCTTGAAAAGGGAAATTTTTAAGTACCGAGAGATCAATTTTGGGGAAAAATCATAACTTGAATGACTTATCATGGTCAATTAATTCTACAATTTTTGTATCATTGATACCTAAAAACATTATTATAGGCAAGTGGAAAATACTAGAAGATTACTTTGAATTATGTGTAATTGTAGACACGTACACTGTCCCCTTTACTAAACTTGCAAACATTTTTCTGTCTCAAAGCCCTCAAAACAATCATTGATAAGTTATAACCATTAAAAAATAGTCTTACAGCCAATTGAAATATTCAGAAATGTCTGAAGAATGTGGCATATAATCATTGCATTTGATATCAGTGCTCAACCCAGAATTACTTTTATTAACCATGGTTATGCATATAAACTTCCACTTTACTTTGAATGCTTTGAACCACCCAGAACCTGGAGCTCTATCAAAGTCCTGCCCTAGCCTCTTAGATCTTGCTGTGATCTGTGAACTTAGAGCCTCATATCACCGAGAATTAATGTTCCCCAACTGGTCTCCCTTAAACAATGAGTGATAGATAATTGGCTATAAATACTCAAGCTTGCTTGCTCTTGAATAGTAGCAAAATTTATGAGGAATTACATTGTCTCTAAACTTTCAAGGGAGGATTGAATCAAATTTATCACCTGTGGAACTTTGTTTGATATTTTGTCTTTGCTTAGGCTTTCTGGTTAGTAAGTCTCACTCCCTGCACTTACAGTATCCCACATACCTCACAGAATATTACTTATCCATTTCCATTTAAATTCTTATTTTGTTGTTGTTGTTGTTGTTTCTGAGGAACCTAAACTAATATACTAAGTTGCACAAGTAACATTAGGTAGCAGATTTTAAGATGAGATACTGTATTTGAATTCTCTCTGAACAGACTAAAATAGAAACATATTTATTTTTTTAGCAAAGAGAGTATAAATAACTCATTTTATGCTGTAACACTGCAGTGGCTAACCCTGCCCATAAGTAACTGGGTAAAATTAATGTTGAAAATGATACATTGGCCTTGTAGTATCTCTGTCTTCAGGTAGATATGGGAAAAACATAGCTTAAAATGTTACAAAGTCAGTTGTTTTCACTAAATTCCACTGGTGTCCTGAGGAAAAACAAAGTCATTTACCATTTCAGATCCTGATGAGCATTTTAGAATGTCTCTATGGAAGAAGAGACCTTCTTTTTTGGTACCCAGAGACCTTTATCATAAGGCTAGCAGAACTCAAAAAAAGAGTAATTTGAAGTTTCAGCAAATCACTTATGTCTAAGTGAAATGACTTTAGAAATGGGGAGATGGAAAGTGAGGCTCTTATGAAACTGCATTCGCCATCAATGGACTAGATAGATTATTCAAAAAGAGTCTGAGTAACAGCACTTAGTCACCAGGATAGACATAATTACCTAAAAGATTCTGCAATCACATGGAAATTTCTCAACATTACCCACAGAGAACTATGGCAATGATAATTTAATCTTGGTGTTTCTTGGGGGAAATATAATTTGATAACAAAAAATTCAAATGATATATTTTAAAAAGTGGATGAATGAAAGACTGAATTATTCCAATGGAAAATCACAATCTCCCATTGTTTACCTATTAAAGACACTTTTGAATCAGAGATAATTTATTTAAAAAGGCTAACATCCCTTGAAGGATTATGCTATGACCCATAAAGTGAACATAGTAATAATTCCTTCAAGTCTTTCTCCAAAATTATGTTTGGTCACTCACTTGAGAAATTGTACAATGGGGAGAGAGAAGTACACTAATTTTACAAAAATATATTACATTTTGTGTCTGAGTTAACACTTGAACCATGGACTGTCTTTTGTATGCAGGTGTGCAGAAGCCATATGGTAAATTAAATCATTTCCAAATATTGTTTATTACTGGTTCCAACACATTAAGGTAGAGGATTAAAAGTCCTCATGTACATATTCAGAATGGATATGCTTGGCACCTGAGAAAGCCATAATCATTTCCTTAAATTGTGGACTAAAAATTCTTGAAATTGCCAAATGTTCCCAACATTGTAAATTAGAGGCAATGCCATGTACTGAGGAGAAAGGTAAATACCAAGGCCATTTTAAAAACATAATGATTAAGTTTTTATTGTCCTTCCATGTCCCCATTTATGTTAAATTCCATTTCTTGGATCAAAAGGATCCCACGGATGATAGTTCACTTCTGAAATCTCTCTGCTCTGGTATATCATCTGTTGTTATAGATCTGGTATATGCACTCTTTTCAAAACACAGAAGGACAGAAGTATATTCACTCAGACTTGAAATCATTACAAATTTAAGGTCTGCTTCAAGTCTCTGCTTAAATTAATTCCCTCTAGTGTAATATATTCCAAAGGAACCTCTGAATCTGTATGTATCAAAGAAATATATTTGGTGATATTATGTTAGACCCAAAGAGTAGAAAATGGTAAACTTCTAGATATTCTTGTGAAACTTACAAATTACAAATGCTAGAAAATAATTTATGTGAGAAATTAAGGAGCTTTCATATTGTATAAACTTGTAGGATTCCAGTGAAAAGAAAAAGAACAAGAGAAAGTCTCCAAGTGGAAAGAAGAGCCTGTGCATTGCAATTCCTACCACTAACACTCTGGGCTTGGAAGGTCAGTTTGAATTCTGACTGGCTACTGTGGAATACTGCTCTAAAATAATTTATCAGGTAATTTTGAAGGGTGTGTTCTGTGAGTGGATGCAATCACACTTTGGGGCATGTATTAGTCAATTTATAAAAAAATACTTGAGGTAACTGACTCATAAATACAGAGTTTTATTTTAGCTCCCATTTCTAGAGGTTTGAGTCCAGGATTGGTTGGCCCAGTTGTTCCTGGCCTGTGGTAAAACATCAGGGTGGGAATGGATAGTAGAGGAAGATCATTCACCCCCAAAGCAGGAAGCAATAGAGAGGAAGGAAGGAAACAGGACACCATTATTTCCTTCAAGGGCACAATCCCCAAAGACCAAAAGACATCCTCCAAGGTCTTACCTCTTTCTACTACTTTCCAATAATGCTAAACTGGGAATCACAATTTTAACACATGGATGGGCCTTTGGGGAACAATTCAGATGCAGGCTATAGTAGACCCTGATACCTAATATGTTGAGCGTTGCTTTTAAGAAGATAGTGTACATTATATACCATTTAGAAACTTTTCAAGCCTTAACAGTGAGTTATAGCACAGACACCTAGATGCAAAAGTAAAGCCATTGTGTCTCCAATAAACAATTACATATCATTTATAGAGTTTTGGAAAGCCCAGCAGCTTCCTAACATGTAATAGTGATGGTTAATCCAGTATAGAGGCTCTCAGGCCCAGAGGACAAAAGAAGTTATGTAAATCAGTACATAGTGCTCCATGAACTCAACCGTTGATGATCCTTCATATTGTACCAATGCATTAATGAAGTTTATTAGGGTCTACTAATGGAAGAAAAAAATAGGTCCTGCTTTGTATGGTTTTGTAAGCAAAGACTGAGAGCTGCCAGAAAACACTATCAATTTGGCAGGTCCTTGAGAGACAGGGATAAGGTAGAAATTATACCAATGATAGAATTTTGAGAGGTGGACCTGACTCTGGAACAATTCTGAAGAGAAAAATGATCTGAGGTACAATTATTTATGGAACCCTAGACAATGGCTAACAGCTTTGCTTGTTCAGAATCTTGGAAGGAGTAATCCTAGAAGAAAGGGATAAGGCGGTCCAATGAAGCCAGGCGCAGAGGCGCATGCTTAACCTATAATCCTAGTGTTTATGAGGCTGAGGTAGGAGGACTGCAAATTCAAAGCTAGCCTTAGCCATTTAGGGACATCATAAGCAATTTAGGTGAGACACTATCTCAAATTAAAACTGGGCAGGGGATACAGCTCATTGGTTAAGTGTCCCTAGGTTCAACCCCTGGTCCAAATAAATAAGTAAAGAGATAAGGAAGTCTGGTGAAAAAGTATCCCCAGGAAGAATTAACGGGAGTGAAGACAAGTGTGAACAAGCTGAAAGGAAGCCAATGCACATCCCCAAATTCCACTGCAAAACAAACACAAAATGCAGGTGACAGATCTATATATGTAGCTAGATATTAGCAAAACTCTACTCTCAATAACTGGGAAATTGGCCCATACATAAGTGACTTGGAATGGGCCCAACAACTTAAATCTCAATGAGGTTACAGATGGTGTAACACCGCATACTGTTTTCAAGTTTATATATATATATATATATATATATATATATATATATATATATATATATATATATATATGAGCACATTCTAAAATAATGATGAAAGTATATTAAAATAAATACATCAACCAATTATTTCTTTATTATCAAGGATTCAAGGATTATGGACTGTACTTTATTGTGTGCTGTAATTTTATTTCACTGGCAGTATAGGTTTGTTTACAACAGCAGCATCAGCAACATGAAAAATGCATAGGCTACAACACCATTATGTGATAAAATTTTTCTACTCTTTATATTCTTATAGGACCACCATCATATCTGTGATTTGTTATTAATGGAAGCATCACTAAATGGTGCATGGTTATAATCCATTCTGAATGGGACCAAAATGTGTTTTGTGTAAGGGTGTGTCTTTCTCCACTGCAATGCCTCAGAACAGCCTGATTGTGCCAGGGCTAAGAGAATATATGATTTATCAATGTGATATCAAACACTGACACTCTATTGATGAAAATATCTGCATTTTGTAGGAGTTTGATCATGGGACCCACATGTTATACTTTCAAACACTGAAACACTTAGGGCAGTCATTTGAATAGAATATTTTAAAAGACCTCTTAAAAAACACATGAAACACCATTCATGTCTTCATACATGCACTTAGGGTCATTACCCTAAGTCAAACTCATTCCACCATCTTTTCTACCCCCAGGCCCCCTCCTTTTCCCACCCTTCCCTTTACCCTTTCTAAAAAGTTCCTTCATTCCTTCCATGCCCCCACCATCCTTCACCATTATGAGTTAGCATCCTCCTATCAAAGAAAACATTCATTCGGTCTTGGATTTTGGGGAGATTGATTTACTTCACTTAGCATGATATTCTCCAACTCTGTCCATTTACCTGCAAATGCCATGATTTTATTCTCTTTTAATGCTTAGTAATATTGCATTGTGTGTGTATGTGTGTGTATAAAAGTTTCCATATCCCATTCAGCTACTGAAGGGAATCTGGATTGGCTTCACAATTTAACTATTGCGAACTGTGCTTCTATAAACATTGATGTGGCTGTGCCCCTGTAGTATGTTGTTTTTAAATTCTTTGAGTATAAACCAAGGAGTGGGATAGCTGGGTCAAATGATGGTTCCACTCCAAGTTTTCCAAGGAATTTTCATGCTGCTTTCCATATTGGATGCAGCAATTGGCAGTCCCACCAGCAATGTATGAGTGTGCCTCTTCCCCACATCTTTGTCAACATGTATTGTTTTTATTTCTGCCATTTTGACTGGAGTGAGATGAAATGTTAGAGTAGTTTTGATTTGCATTTCTCTAATTGCTAGAGATGTTGAACATTTTTCATATGTTTGTTCTGAGAAGAGTCTATACAGTTCCTTGGCCCATTTATTGGTTGGGTTATTTGTTTGTTTGTTTGTTGTTTTTTTTTTTTTGCTATTAAGATTTTTGAGTGCTTTATATATCCTAGAGATTAGTGCCATATCTGATGTGCTTGTAATAAAGATTTGCTCCCGTTCTGTAGGCTCTCCATTCACCTCACTGTTCATTTCTTTTGTTGAGAAGAAGCTTTTTAGTTTGAATCCATCCCATTCATTGATTCTTGGTTTTGATTCTTGCACTATAGGAGTCTTATTAAGGAAGCTGGGGTCTGATCTGACATGATGGAGACTTGGGTGTACTTTTTCTTCCATTAAGTGCACAGTCTCTAGTTTAATTCTTAGATCCTTCATCCACTTTGAGTTTTGTGCATGGCGAGAGATAGAGGTTTAATTTCATTTTGTTACATGTGGATTTCCAGTTTTCCCAGGATGCTTTGTTGAAAAGACTATTTTTTTTCTCCAATATATGTTTGGTGCCTTTGTCTAATATGAGATAACTGTAATCATGTGGGTTTGTCTCTGTGTCTTCTATCCTGTACCATGTGGGTTTGTCTCTGTGTCTTCTATCCTGTACCATTAGTCTCCAGGTCTATTATTGCTCTGTAGTATGGTTTAAGGTCTGGAATAGTAATGCTACTATTTCACTCTTCTTGTTAAGGATTGCTTTGGCTATTCTGGGTCTCTTATTTTTCCAGATGAATTTCATTATTGCTTTTTCTCTTTCTATGAGGAATGCTATTGGGATTTTGATTGGGATTGCATTGAATCTGTATAGCGCTTTTGGTAGAATGGTCATTTTGACAATATTAATTCTGCCTGTCCAAGAACAAGGTAGATCTTTCATCTTCTAAGGTCTTCTTTAATTACTTTCTTCAGCATTCTGTAGTTTTCATTGTATAGGACTTTAACCTCTTTTGTTAAATTGATTCCCAAGTATTTTATTTTATTTATTTATTTATTTATTTTTCTTGAGGCTATTGTAAATGGGGTGGTTTTCCTTCTTTCTCTTTCTGAGGATTTGTCACTGATGTACAGAAATGTCTTTGATTTACAGGTGTTTATTTTATATCCTTTTACTTTGCTGAATTTGTTTACTTGTTTAAGAATTTTTCTGGTGGAATGTTTTGGGTCTTCTGGGTATAGAATCATATCATCGGTAAATAGGATAATTTTGAGTTCTTCTTTTCCTATCTGTATCCCTTTAATTTCTTTCATCTTTCAAATTGGCTGGAGTTTCAAGAACCATGTTAAATACAAGTGATGAAAGAGGGCATCACTGTCTTGTTCCAGTTTTTAGAGGAAATGCTTTCAATTTTTTCTTCATTTAGAATGATGTTGACCTGGGGCTTAGCATAGATAGCTTTTACAATGTTGAGATACATTCCTGGTATCCCTAGTTTTTCTAATGTTTTGAACATGAAGGGATACTGTATTTTGTCAAATGCTTTCCCTGCATCTATTGAGATGATTATGTGATTTTTATCTTTGAGTTGATTTCCTTATGTTGCACCGACCTTGCATCCCTAATATGAAATCTACTGATCATGGTGCACTATCTTTTTAATATGTTTTTGTATTTGATTTGCCAGAATTTTATTGAGAAGTTTTGCATCTATATTCATTAGAGATATTGGTCTGAAGTTTCTTTCTTTGATATGTCTTTGTCTGATTGTGGAGGAGGGTGATATTGGCCTCATAGCATGTGTTTGGAATTGTTCTCTCTTTTTCTATTTCATGAAATAGTTTGAGGAGTATTGGTATAAGTTCTTCTTTAAAGGCTTTGTAGAACTCAGCTGTGTATCTGTCCTGTCCTGGGCTTTTCTTGGTTGGTAGGCTTCTGATGGCCTCCTCTATTTCATTGCTTGAAATTAATCTGTTTAAATTGTGTATATCATTCTGATTTTTTTGAACAAGTCATATGCCTCTAGAAATTTGTCAATGCCTTTGATATTTTCTATTTTATGAAGTACAAATTTTAAAAAAAAAATGTAATTACCTTCTGTATTTCTGTATTTCTGTAGTGTCCATTGTGATATTTCATTTTACATCAAGGATTTTAGTAATTTGAGCTTTCTCTTTCCTTCTTTTCCTTAGCATGTTAATGGTTTATCAATTTTATTTATATTT